TTATTATTTTTTTTATAAAATTAATAATTTTAATAATAATAAATAAAAATATTTTAAAATATACACTTATTTGTTTTTAAATATGTCCTTATTAGTCATTTAATGTTAAACAATAATCACTAACTATTGTATAGTCAAACAGTTATATTTATCGAATCCGTTATTTACCATCCGCTACCCACTTTTCACTATCTGTCATCTGTTACCCGCTAACCACCACCCGTTACCCGCTACCACTATCTGCTATCCGTTACGTACTATCCGCTATCCGCTGAATTTTAACTGCTGTATCGAACAGGCTATAAATTCTATGAAATCCTCTAGTTTAAGAAGGGAGAGCTTTTAACTCTCTTCTCTTCCTCTACTACCACATGTGAGCTAATTACTTTTTGGTCTTATAGTCTAACACACAGTTTATATTATTATTGGTCTAATTTACATAATTTTTTCTTAAATTCATGCATAAATCATTAAATCAATTGAAAAGTGATCAGGTTTCGAATGCATCAAGTTTAATAATGTAAACTCTTCAAGCAAATAACTTTAATTAAAAGTATAAAATCACAAAATTTATATTAAATTGCTTAAGTTATATCATAACCCTAGTAGAATAAATTAGTTCTTAATAAAAATAATAAAATCTAAAATGAATATTCAAATATCAAACAATAGATAAAAAGAATTTAAGGAAAAACAAAATCTAATTTGAGAAAATTGAACTCCTTATCTTCTATTGTTGATAAAATTTTTATCTTAATCTCCAATAATGCCCAAAAGAGAGCTACAACCGGCCTCCACCAAGCTCTTTTGATTCTGAATTTGGATGAGTATTTATAAGGTTTTAGAAACTCTAATTGAAATAAAAGTAAGATTTGAAACAGAATAGAAAACTTAAATGTTGGACGCTGAACATATGGTACTAATACTCCAAATTACGTATAGTTAAATGTTCATTTTGATCCCTCAACTTTATCCATTTGCACATTTTTGATCCCTAATGAATTTTTTGCACATTTTTGATCCCAACTCTAAAAAATGCACACTGTTAGTCCTTCTGTCAGTTATATATGACGTGGCAATTAAAAAATTTCACGTGACATTTTCTTATAAATTTTTTATGACATGGCAATAACACATCAGAAAAAAAATTCCAACTCATATACTAGATTAAATTAACACTTTATTTTTAATAAAAAATAAAAAACTAAAAATTTACCTTAATACCCTTATCTCCCTTTCTTCATCCATCGTCTCCTCTTCTTCCCCTC